TCCCCCTCCTCCTAGGGATGATTAGGGGGGGGTGGATATCATGGCGTGGGCCATGATGTCTCCCCAGATTTCATGGCGCCCCTTCTTGTTTCATTGCGTCCCTGGCCCCCCCCGCTGGGCCGCGCACATGCCGCCGGTCATGATTTGCACCCCCCCACTCTTGGACACCCCCCTCTTGGCCGCTCCCGGTTATCGGAAGCTGGAACATCTACAGTACCAGTGGCGGGCTGTTTTTCCATCCCAGAACTTCTTGGAGGGTCGGGGACGACGTCGGGGTGGTGTGGTGCATGCTCTTTGTCCCACTTCCCGGGGGGGACATCAACAAATGTATACGCCAGGATCCCTATAGACTAGGATCCGCTTTCCTGTGCGAATTTCAGTGTGGGGCCGGAAAAAGCGTCGGTGCATGGAGCTCGGCCCTTTAACAAACATGAGCTTTTTTGGCGCTCCGCGCCGATTTCTCGGATCCGCGCCGGGCTCCCGGTGCCTCTGGCGCCGCCCCTGGCTTGGGCACAGCGTAATGGGGGGGTCATAAATGGGGGGGTGGCGAGGGTGGTCCGAAAAGGTACCCAAACGGTACCTAAACAAGCCCCCTGGGGCTCTGGAGGGGCCCGAAAGGGGCACGAAAGGGGACCTTTTCTGACCCCCCCATTTGTGACCCCCCCATTAAGCCACGCCCAACTGGCGCGCTCGGCGCGCCCCGGAGGGGGGTCCAGTGCAGATCCAAGGACTCTGCGCGGAGCGCCAGCAGTTTATGCTTGTGCCGTCTTTTCTGCTTCTGGGTAAGCCGTCCCCTTCCGTGGCGTCCCCCTCGCCTCACCCCAAGGCGTGTGTCTCGGCCTTATGTGTGCGCCGCCCCCCCACGGGCGACGCGCGCACCGAGGAATCTTTCGTGGCGGGTGCTTTCTGGCCGCAGCGCTCGGGAAATGACCTGCTACAAGATGGACATACGACATGTTCGGGTCGGACGCGCGCCTCCAACGACGACATATAGTACTGGTATGTATCTGTGCGTCCCAGTGTATGTGGCCGGAGGGGAAGTTTGGAAGGCGAAGATGATGTCACGGAAGGTGCTGGTCGCAGCAGGGGTCTGTAGGGCCGCGCCCAAGGTGCTTCTGCGGGCTACCTCCATAGACGAGGCCCTGAAGTCCGCCGCCGACAGGGCGCAGCAGACGCGGGAGGACGCCCAGAAGGCGGCCAACAGCGTCATGAGCGCGCCTGGGAAGTTGACGGAGATCAGAGGAGGAAGTCGGCGGCGAGCGAGGGGGAGAAGTGAGAAGGAGAAGGCCTTCTCAGAAGGCGGCGGGACTTCCCAGAAGCCCTCGCGCCTTCTGAGAAGTTTTTCTGTCTTCGGGGAAGGCTCAGAAAACTTCTCAGAAGGCCAGGGGACTTCCGGGCCTTCTGAGAAGGCCTTCTCCTTCTCTTCCCCCCCCCCTCGCTCGCCGCCGCGTAACCGCTGCTCGTCCTGGGAAGCCCTCGTCGCCACCGCTGGATTTGTTTCGATATTCTGCTCCTAAACAACGCGCCTGGGGAGAGGCCCGTGGAGAATCGGTAATGATGGGTAACTATTTACTTGTGTCCCCAGGAGAGGGCCGCGAAGGCCGCGGAGGAGGTCATGAACGCACCGCAGAAGATCCAGGAGAGCCTAGAGAAGGACGATGGCAAGGCAGGGCCCATCTCGATCCGATCGGTCTGGTCCAATGTCGATTTTGGCCAGCCCGACCGTATTCGATTCTGATGCGGCCCGATGCTTGCGTGGCGCTGTTGCGCCTCCCGGCGCAGCCGATCCGATTCGATCTCGATCCCGTGGCGATGCAGTCCGAGCGGATGAGTATTTCGATTGGATTTTCCGCCGAATCTGTGTACGAATACAGTGACACCCCCAGTGGACTGTTCTTGGGCCTCAGCGGAGGGTGGCGGTGTATAGAGATCACCACTCGGAACCCGACAGCTAACTACACCGCCGTCCTCTCTGAGGGCATTGGAAGACTCACTGGCGGGTGTTGTGTATACACCCCGACATCCGACTACTCTATCCTGTATCCCAGTGATTTTTGGCGCTTCGGGGTCCTCTTGGCGGTCCTCGTTCGACCCTCTTGAGGCCTGCTTCCCTCAGGACCCGCTCCCTGACGTCCGTCGACCTGTTTTTTTCAGTCTGCGTCCCGAGGGGCCCTAGAGGAGGAGGAGGAGGAGGAGGAGGAGGAGGAGGAGGAGGAGGAGGAGAGGAGGAGGAGGAGGAGGAGGAGGATGGGGAGGAGATGCAGGAGGAGGAGGAGGAGGAGGAGGAGGGAGGAGGAGGATGGGGAGGAGATGCAGGAGGAGGAGGCGGAGGAGGCGGAGGCGGAGGAGGAGGCGGAGGGCTCCTTCCCTGGGGCCAGCCTTCCGCCCCGGATCCATCCCCCGACGGCCCGGCGGCCCGGCCCTCCTCCTGGGGTGCCGAGAGCGAGGCAGGGCGCCTGGACTGAAGCATCTCCTCCTCCTCCTCCTCCTCCTCCTCCTCCTCCTCTCCTCCTCCTCCCCTCCTCCTCCCTCCCTCCCCTCCTACTCCTCCTCCTCCTCCTCCTCCTCCTCCTCCTCCTCCTCCTCCTCCTCCTCACGTCGTCGGCGATGCGGCGCGACCTTCCGACCCCGTCTCCTCCGAGCCCATCCAGGATGGGGGGTGGACAGACCTCCTACCCTGACACGTCGATTAGCGAGTTGGCCGTTTTCGGTTCGCGAGGTGGCGTCGCGGCCATGATTTTTGAAGGTCCAGGGTCGTCAGTTTCGGTCCCAGGCCGTTTTCGCCGATAGGGGGCCTCAAATGATCGAGTGACTTCACCTGTTCCGTCCTCCTTGGGGGGCGGGCGGACGCCCAGTCTATTTTCAACGCCTTCCAACTTCATTTAAGTCGGGCCTGTCCCTCTACAGGAGTAATTTTCAAACATAGTTCTCATAAATAGTCGGGGACGATGTTTGGGGTATCTTTGAGCATTGTTTCTTTTGTTTTGCTTTTTGTTGCCCAGAATACCCCCTGTAGGAGGACACGCCCGACCTAAACCGGGGTGCGTTGTCGGCGCGTGGCCTCCCTGGACCTCTCGACCTCTTCCCGGCTCATCTGGGCCTCCTGGATGGGGTCCGAGCGTCGGGGGCAGCAAAAAAGAGGGGGGTGATGACTAGGGGGGTGGACATCATGGCGTGGGCCATGATATCTCCTCAGATTTCATGGCGTGGGCCTTGATTTGCGCCCCCCCCCCCCTTGGACGCCCCCGTCTTGGCCGCCCCCAAGAGTGGGTGGGGTCGGAGGATCGCGCCGCATCGTCGCTGCATCGGCGATGCGTCTCGATGTGGGGCCCGATGTTCTTCACGCCGACGTCGCCGATGCATTGCCGATGTCGCCGATGCTTCCATCGCCGATGCATCGCCGATGCATGCGCAATCCTCCATCGTTGCTTCGACGGCCCCGTGGGCCCCACCGGACGTGGCGACGAGCCAGCCGCCCCGGTTCTTCTGAGGCGCCGGGTGCCTGGGGCTCGGATGCCGTGGCGTAGATTCGATGTTGCGCAATGTTTCGGCAGCAGCTCGTGAGAGCCGTGCGTGTCCTCGCAGTTCTGTCCTTCGGGTGCACTGGCGTGCGCCAGCGTCTGGGACTCGGATGTCTGGGACTCGGAGCTCGTGGCGTAAATTCGATGATGCGCGATATTTCGGTAGCAACTCGTGAGAGCCTTGCGTGTCCTCGCAGTTCCGGTCCTTCGGGTGCACTGGCGTGCGCCAACGTCTGGCACTCCATGAGACAGCGCCGATCTAGCGTCGGCTTAGCGCCGTTCAGCGTAGGGTCGATCCGCAAGAGCCAGCAAGAGATGACGTCTGGCGCCGCGTTTCGTTCCGGGGCTGGCCCCGGTTTTGGGCCCAGTCCAGGAGGAGGAGGAGGAGGAGGAGGAAAAGGAGGAGGAGGAGGAGGAGGAGGAGGAGGAGGCCCCCATGATTTGCCACAGATGGAAGTCGATGCCGACCGGCTCCCCTCAAAAGGTGCTGGACCCCGCGAGCCCCGCGGGCACCGTCGGGGCGGCGGCCGTGAGCGTGGCGGTGCCGTCGCCCGCTTCTCCCCCCCCCCCGCAGCAGAGCCAGAGGCGGCACACACACGCACGCGCACACGCACGCGCACACGCACGCGCACACGCACGCGCACGCGCCACGCGCACGCGCACGCGCACGCGCGCGCGCACACGCACACCCGCACACCCGCACACCCGCACACCCGCACACACGCACGCACGCACACACTTACACACACGCACACACGCATGCACACACGCACACACTCACGCACGCACACACGCATGCACACACGCACAGACGCACAGACGCACACACGCCCACACGCACACACGCACACACACAACACACACACGCACAAGCGCACACACGCACACCCGCACACGCACACGCACAAACACAAACACACACAAACACACACACAAACCCACAAACACACACACACGCACACGCACACGCACACGCACACACACAACATGCACACAACACACAACACACAACAGACACCACACACACAACACAACACACACGCACACAATACACACACACTCACACTCACGCTCACACTCACACTTACACTCTCACTCACACTCACACTCACACTCACACTCACACTCGCTCACGCTCACACACACACACGGACTCTTCGGAGGGCCGATCAAGGCCGCCCATATTCATCGAGCGCAGAAGAGTCCCTAACACTGTAACACTATGAAGACGCGGTCTCACTGATGTCCCCGTCTTCGCATCACAGATAGATTTGGGCGGTTTAGACCTCCCAAATTGGGTCCCCTCCCAAACGGTTAGGGGTTCTTTTTTGGTCAATCAAAGATGGGGGCGAGGTACCCAGCCGGAGGCAGCGGCAGGGATTTATTCCCAACCATCCTGTGGTGTTGGGTCCTCGTTTTGAAATAACGGTCCCCCCGTTCTCCTCTTCCTCCTATTCCTCCTCCTCCCTCTTCTCTCTCCTCCATCGCCATCATCATCATCATCATCATCATCATCATCATCATCATCATCATCATCATCATCATCATCATCATCACTCGCTTCAGCACACCCCTCACACGTTTCGTGGCCCCATAGGGAGCCCCACCGAAGGTCGCAGTGCTACCGTCCGCATGCGTCCCGCACACCCAGTACAGCGTTTCGTGGCCCCATCATAGGGAGCCCCACCGAAGGTCCCAGTGCCACCGTCCGCATGCGCCCCGAAACATCCAATTTTGCATTTTCACCCACCCAGTACAGCGTTTCTGGGTCCAATGGGGCGCTCCACCGAAGGCCCCAGTGCCACCGCCCACACGGGTTCCCCCCCACCCAGTGCAGCCCTTCGTGGCCCCATAGGGAGCTTCACCGAAGAACGTATTCACAATTGCGGTACCCACAACTGCATATGATTGGGTCCTTCGCCAGGGTATTTTTTCCCACAGAGGGAGGCGGAGGGAGAGAGAGCGCGAGAGAGAGTACGCTCGCGCGCCCTCTGCGGGGCTTTAGTGAATGCGCTCGGCAGTGGATCCGCGCGCGCGTGCTGATGCAGGAAGCGGAGGAGGTGCAGAATGAGCACGAGAGAAGCGGGCCCCT